TGGTTGTAGTCTACCCACAGCGTATGATGTCCTTTATGCGTACGGCACATGATGCTACGGGGCATAGGGGACATTACGCGACCAAAGAGTTGTTAGCGAAAAGGTTCTGGTGGCCAGACTTAGATGGAGATGTGGGCTGGTATGTTAAAACATGTCATGTTTGCCAGATCCGTCAAAAGTTGTTCATGAGAATTCCCCCGACGGTAACAGAGACGCCGTCTATATTCCAGGTTTTGCACGCCGACGTGATACATATGAGCATACCTAGTGATAGGTGTAAGTTCATAGTTCATGGTCGATGCGCCTTAACGCAATGGATGGAAGGAAAAGCGCTACAAAAACAGAACGCAAGTACAATTGGAAAATGGTTGTTTGAGGATGTAATCCTAAGATGGGGTTGCATTCAAAAGATAGTGACAGACAATGGTGGACCTTTTGTTAAGGCGGTAACGTGGCTAGAAGAAAAGTATGGTATCCGAGGAATACAGGTCACCGGATATAATGCCCAAGCCAATGGCACCATCGAAAGACCACACTTTGACGTTGTAAATATGCTGGCGAAAGTGACCACCGGGAACTTATCGAAATGGAGATGGTATTTCCCTCATATAATGTGGGCAGATCGAATTACCATAAGAAAACGCTTTGGATGTTCACCATTCTTTATGGTGACAGGCGCCGAACCAGTTACACCTTTGGATATACAAGAAGTGACTTGGTTAGTTGAACCGCCGGAGTCGTTTATATCCACAGACGATCTTCTCGTGCGAAGAGCAAAAGCCTTAGCAAAACATAAAGACTTCGTCGAATCAGTGAGACAAAAGATCCATCAGGCTAAGAAGGATAGAGTTGCAAAGTATGAGTTAGAGCACAGGCGGACGATTCGAGACTATAATTTCAAGTCAGGAGACCTTGTAATAATGAGGAATTCACCTATCGAAGATAGTCTCGACCGAAAGCTGAAGCCAAAATACAACGGTCCTTACGTCGTGCTAAATAGAAATAAGGGAGGCGCCTATATAGTAGCAGAGCTGGATGGTTCAGTATACCAATCAGTTGTTGCGGCGTTCAGGTTGTTACCCTACTACGCACGAAAACGTATCAAACTTCCCAAAGATATCCATGAGAAGATTGATATTGGACCGGAAATGTTGAATAAGTTAGTGTCTTCAAAGCGCAAAGGCGACCCGCCGGACGATTTTATCTTCGAGGGTATGCCTAAAGGAAATCGAGAACGAGATGAAGATGGAGAACTTGATGCTGCCAACTTCGAGAGCTCAACCGAGGACGGTTGAATTCTTTAAGTTGGGGGGAGAGAGTACCATAGAGGACGAAAGAATGTATCTCCATAGGAGTACATTCTGAAGGACTCAGAATAAATTACCACTTCACAATTAAATTTTTCGATTTTCAAAGTCAAGAAGACTTAGAAAGAGTCAAAGAGACTTAGAAGTTTAGTTCACACAAGAAAAGTGCATGCAACCAAGGATGATATTTGCAAGTGTAGTACCACAGGGAAAAAGCGAAGAGCGCACTAAAAACCTATAGTACTAACACAAAGAGACTAACGGCAGAAGAAAACGACGAAGGCTTACACCTCAGTCATGGCCACATCACCAGACGCGTCGACAGCCAAGTCCTCAGCATTGGGAGAAGCAGGACTATAGCCAGGAGAGGTGGCGGAATAGACAAGGTCATCTTCCTCAAGAGGAGGAAGCTCCTTCTCCAAGCTAGCCTGAACCTTCTCGAACTCTGCGAACAGGATTTCGAGGTAGCGAACGTCCATGCTGATAACGTGGACCCGACGGAGAATCTCTGAGCGAATGTCAGAGAGGGCGGCACGCGCCGTGATACCGACAGCCAATGCATCAGAGTAGTTACTGAGGACGTTCTGGACTTGAGACAGAACACCGGTAACCCACTCGTTGTTGAGCGAAAGCTGATCGGCTACAAAAGTAAAGTCAGAAGAGTTTAGATGAAAAAGAGTCTAAGTACTCCCCGCCTTGAGGATCATACCATCAGGGAAGAGGTTGGGGTACTTAGCCGTGATGGCATTCTTGTTGACCTCTTCCAAGGCGCGAGTATCGGCCGAAATGCGAGCGCGTTTGCCGAGCGAAGTAACCTTGAGGTAAGCAGGAGATGTCAAGTCCAAGTTAGGAACAAAGTGGAAGGGCACGCGTACCACAGAAGTGGAAGAATGGATGGCAGCCCTGCGAGAGCTACCTCCTCGACCACCGCCGCGGCCGCCCTAAGAGTGAGATCAAGAGGTCAGTATCCGCCGGACAAAAATAAAAGTGAGGAAATACTCACACGTCCACGGGAACCACGACCACGAACAGAGGAAGACCCTTCTGCGACCACGTCTTGAACAATCTCCTAATATACCAAATCGGGTAAGCCAAGAGATAAATCAAGGCACGGCGGAGAAACATACCACATCGTCGTCGGAATCAGCGATGAAAGCAGCCGACTTCGGGGTCTTGCCTAAAAATAGAGTTAGATCCGAGAACAACTAGAGTGATAAGATGAAGACTTACGACTTTTCTTAGGCGCCGGAGTAGCCGTAACCTGAGAATCAGTGGCTGACGGGGTGGAAGCCTCAGCAGCGGGGGTTGTAGCAGGGGTCGGAGGATTTTCCGCCGGGGACGTAGGAACGTTGGAAGTGGGAGTCGCAGATGGAGTAGACGGAGTTTTGACTGGAGAAGGGTTGGTAACAGTTGGAGCCGAACTGCTAGCCGCCTGAGTGGAAGTCGGAGGATTAGGAGGGGACGCCGCCGGCGCAGACCATCGAAGGAATGGCTCGACGCTATGGTGAGGCGACGCGTCTAAGTCCTTGCACCACTTAGAGTAGGCTAGGAGGCCAGCTGCACCACGACGCGCAACCGGCTGGAACACGGCGTAGTAAATATAGCCAGGGTTCTGGGAACGAGCAGGTTGCTAGAACAAGAGAAGTTAGTGAAAAACCAAAAGGGAGTGAAAGACGGACTCACGAACGCCTCAACGATGGACGCCGCAGCGTCAGAGTACCGAGTAAAGTCACTAATCGTGGGCTTGAGACCAATGGTGTTGCGGACACGCGACAAGTTGTCAAAGCAGCAGGAC